GGGACGGAGTGGGGTGGGGGACGAGCCCACACGTCAGGACGCTGCCCGGAGCTGGGGGCAGAGGGGGGAGCTGGGGCTGGTGGGTATTCCTGTCTTGGCACAGGAATTTAGATAGAGCTGTGCCTGACCCCGGAGCATCCTTGGGGTCTCGGGCAGTGAACATGCCACCTTCCCTTACTAAAACCGCTCACAGGAGAAGCTTGACCTTTTTAACGATTTTGAGCTATTATTGTTGCAAAGATGCTGTAGTTTAGACTAGAGGGGTGAGGTAGGGAAGGAGCAGGAGCCGGGGGGCTAGGGGGGAGCAGGAGGGTTGTGTGGATGTTCCCGGGGCAGCACCGCTCGCAGCGGCCGAGTTGGCCCCATGGGCTGGGCTTGAGCCTTCCCAGTAGTCCCAACCCCAGCCGGTTTGTACTCGTGGTAGTTTTGGTGGGCTCTGGAGCATCCCAGCGTCAGACGTTGTCATGAGACGGGAATCCTGCAGTGCAGCTGGAGGGGAAGGAGAACAGAATCTCCTTACAGCCCTCCATGCCGATGCCTGAGAAAGCAGGGCATCCATCATGTTCAATGTATGCACGTAAAGAGGTCGAGCGGAGAGAGTATGGCCTCAGCACTCATTTCCCATAGCACAAAAATAACTCCAAGTAACCCAGTTTCAGCTGGCGTTTATTACTCATCCTGCTCAATGAACTGCTGAAAGGGAGGATGGTGCTTGTGTTCTCTGGGATTTGGTGTAATCGCTGCTCCTGAGGCTTGCCTAAGTGTCCTTAACACTGGTAATGAGCAAAGGGAGGGGGATGAGAAGAAGTGCTGATGAGAATGGTGTTAAAAGGATTTAGCAAGGTGTCATGTGCTGCAGGTAATGCACTCGTGCCCCATTATGTCTCCAGTCTTAACTGGGGATGACGTAATCAGCTTTTAATGGGGACGATTCTAAGAAGTTGAAATGTATGGTATTTTTTCAGCCTGTGTGCACGCAGCATGAGAAGGAGTTGATTATAACCGAGCCTTATAATGACTTTTCTGTGACCCTGTGATGTGAGGCTGCAGGTGGGATTTCACAGCTGGCGAAGCCGCAGGGACCGGCTGTGGGCTCAGCCCTCCCCAGAGCTGCTCCCTGGAGCGGGGAGGGCGATGGGGGAGCAACAGACGGTGCCAGTGAGGTTTGCGATACTGGGCTGCTAAAAATTTGCTGCTTTGTCTGATTCTAATATCTTCAGAAGTCGTGGATGTGTGGGCGGGAGGTGGGGAGTTGTTAAATCAGTGCACCAAAACCGGTGCATCTCTCACCAAACTGGTCCATTAAGAGGTTAGATTCAACCTCGTCCTTTTAATGGATCTCTGATGACTCCCAAGGGCTATTCCTATAAGAATATAGAAAGCAAACCCTTGCAGGATGATAAATGTTAAGCTGGTTATAGACTGACTTCCCATGTAGGCTACTTATGCAGTCTGAGGTACACAGCTCTATTATTTACTGAGACCGGTTTAGTTTGGAGTGGTATGAAGAACATCAGATAAATCCTGATCCAGCAAACGTGTTTAGACTTGACAAGAAAACAAATGATGAGTCAGGAAGGAAAGTTCACTCTTGGCGTGTCTAGCAAATGAGGCAGTAAAGTAAAAGCTGAAATCTGGAGCTCTAAGGGCTGCGCTCTAAACAAGTGGAAAGGGGAGTCTAAGATACTGGTTACTCTGACAATAAGTAACTTCTGAATTTTCTGCAAGCTCCCCTAAAGCTGCTGCTGCGCAGGGTGTCCCTTACGGGGGGGTTTCCTCCGGCTGGCTCTGCCTGCAGCCCAGGGGACAGGGTGATGGGTGCCAGCACGGCATGGGACGCACAGCGGCAGCTCCCCGTGCAATCAGTTCCCCAAGCCCGATGTCTGTAACCTGCAGACACCAAACCCAATTAGTATTAATGGGTGGCACAAAAAATAATTCAGCCCGAAAAGCACTGTAAAGAGAGTTGTGGTTGTAGAGGGAGGGCCACTGTCGTTGAACAGAACCCCCGACTGGTTTGGGTTGGAAGGGACCTCAAAGATCATCTAGTTCCAACCCCCTGCCACGGGCAGGGACACCCTCCACTAGCCCAGGTTGCCCAAAGCCCCATCCAACCTGGCCTTGAACACTGCAAGGGAGCCAGGGGCAGCCACAGCTTCTCTGGGCAACCTGTGCCAGGGCCTCAGCCCCATCCCAGGGCAACAGTTC